TGTTTTGTAGGACAATGCATGGAGGAAGGAAATTTCTTGACCTATCCACAGCACTGGAAGGACATTTCAGAGATAACTCTAGTCTGGGTAAGCAAAACTAAACAGTGCTGTGCAGAGGTCAAAGGGACTCTTTCTAATAAAGGAAAGGAAAGCAAACTTGGAGGAAAAAAAAGACAAAAAAAACCCAAAACCTAACAGAACACAAAACAAGCTATTAAAACCTGGCTTAATTGAACCCGATACTCCTAAGTGCAGTAATAATGGCTTCCTCTTTGGAGGAAAGTAAGTCATCCAAGAGAAACAGCTCACCCTGCAGTGACACCAGAAAATGAAGTAAGAGTGGCTTTCTGGGCTCTGGCAGAGGCAAATTAAGTAGGAAGACCATTGTAGGTTAATTACATCTGACATTCTGCTTCCGTAGGCAAAGCATTCTTTGTCCATACCTGTTATCAGTTCTGCTTGTGCTAGAAGTCAGCACTTCAACAGAACAAGTGCAAGGGCATTTTAAACAACTCCTCAGCTAAATTTTTCTTCATTGTGCAAGACTGAAAACAAAGAAGTGTGAGTTTCAGCACAGACTATAACCTGATTATGTACTCAGCAGTGTCTGATCTGGTTAGCAGTTTGCACTCAAGATCATTTCAGAGCATCTTTGGTCTTGCTGTACTTGCTCAAGGACAGCAACCCATTTTGTTCTGTCAGCACGAACCACATAAGAAGAGAGAACAGCACAGCTGCCATCGTAGTCAACCCAAATGTTACATCAGATCCCTATGAAGTATGTTTTACACATCAATATTTTGGGCAAATATATCTCAGCAGTGGATATAGGTCAGGAAACTGGCAGACAGGAATACAAATTCTGCCTTCTCTAACCATCACGCACTTCTGCAATCACATATACTGTAGCAGAGAAATAGAGCCAACAAAGTGTTATGTCATGTCACTTCTCCAAGGGTACACTGGAAATCGGTGGCAGATACTTTAGATGTTTACTTTAAATAGAGCCACTGTAATTTTCCCCATAGGCAACTGCATGTGTAATGGCAAAAGTTGAGTTTGAATATCACTACTCCCAACATTATATCAGAGACAGAAATGTAAGCCAATGGGAGTTAGGCACCTGGTACTGACGCCTTTAAAGTCTCCTACTCGCCTATCAAATTCTGAGGTGATTAAGGGGAAGGGCATGTAATATCCTAAAGCTCTGCTTGTTTTTGTAAACAACTCTGAAAGTTCATGTGCAGTTCATCTCTTTTTATAACACATATTTAGACAGCCACAGTTTCGGTCATTTTTCATTTTCTGACTGTGGGCACATTTCTGCACTGTAGCACCTGCTCTCTTTTCTGGTTTTGATACTGAAGCAGTGGTGACATGTGTCAGCAGACACTTATCCTCTCTCTAACCGGAGCTTCAGGCATGGATATTTGTGGTTGAAAGAAAGATCACTGGATCCTGGAGAAGTTGATCTTTCTAATATCAGGGAATTTTTCAGTAAAAGTAAAAATATATAAAGAGCTACTTTCCCTGAGTACTCAGAAATTTTTCTAAATAGGAAAGAAAATATTTCTCTGGTTGCATTAAAGGAAAAAGAAAGCATCTATATTCTAAATTCGTCTGACTTATTTCCAATATATACAAATACAGAAGTATCAGAATTACATCTATATTTGCAAGGACACGGAATGCATTCCCTAAGAACCCAGGAATCAGAAATTTAATCTTTCAGAGAAACTAAGGTAATCTTGAGCCTGAAATTTAGTAACCTTTTTTTTGCAAGGATAGAACATTAATCCCAGTATCCAACCCAAATTCAGATTTTATTCTACTTCACAGAACAAAATTCGGCATCCACTTCAAACAGATTTTGCTTATTTAAAGTTCCCTTCATTAATAGGTTCTGCAGCTTTTTTTGTGCACTTTTAAGTAAGATTTTAACACTTACTCCATAATGTAATGTGTTACCACATTTATTTTAATAGCCCTACTAGCAGCAGTAAATATTACATCTCTTTGGTTTTTTTATATAGGGCTTATGCAAGTCCCTGAATGTGCTTCAGAGGAACTGGATTTCATCAGTGAAATGCCTTCAGCTGACTTGTACAGGTAAGCTGCAGTGATCTGTGAGAGCACGAGTACTTTATAAAAGTCAGCTGGCTACATACATATTCTTGCTTAACATCTGAGCTTTTTGCTATAAAAGCATACTTCAAAATATTAATCCTACTTTGATTAAAAAGAACCTATGATTTGTTGTTGAAGCACTTTCCCTTCACTTGTGAAAAAAATACATGTATCTGGTTTACCCAGCCTCCTCTCATTAGGATAACAAACATTTCTTTATTCTACAATACCACCGTGTTCTGCTGTTGCAGCACAGTTCAAGAAGTTCTTATTTGTTTCAAAAATGGGATTTGCAAATCCACTATTGGTATAACTGATACTGGTAGGCTGCCAGCTAATGTGCCATATCTGGCTTGTTGCCATATGAGAGCAAAATCTCCCGTTTTTCTTACTGCTCTTCTGAATTACACACTATGCAGCAGATAAGTTAATGAATCAGCAGTCTTCAGTTTGGCCTTTCTCTGCCTGACTCCCACGCACTCCCGCTAGAGGATGCGGATGTGTTCAGCTGAATTTAACCGCTCATCTCTGAAGTAGACTTTGTCCACCACCCCTATAAATGGGGAGAATCTGCAGCCTTTCTTAACAAGTAGAATTGTCACATCTGTGACTTCAATTCAGCACAACACAGAAGACTTATTTAGCTAAATGTTATCTTCTGGCTATTGACAGATTCTGTACTGATTTTATTAGCTTTCTCAGCAACTGTTAAAATTGAGAAAAATGAAGGGCTGTGCACTTCTCTGCAATATTTGATGTGAAACAAATAAGCAAATCCAGTCTGTCCCTTAAAGCTGAATGCAGGGCACGAAAAATAACTTTCATTTCTCATTGGGATTTTTCTGTATCGAGGTTTGCAGGGTTCCTGTTTTGCTCATCACAGATTTAAAAACTGGGGATCTGCTAACATGATTTTGGATGCTTCAGGATCCCCTCATTTCAGGTTGTAGGCTGTGCAACAGCTCCTTAAACATCCCTATAAGTCTCAGCTCTGACTTGTTTTCTTGATGCCTGATAGAACTAGGATGAAGAAGGTTTGGTTCACATAAAGTAAACTTGAACTATATGCAAGAAAAATCATTGTGACTAATCAGTGGGGTTATAATTGCCAGTCCTGTGCACTTCCAAAATACACTTGATGTATGAATACTGTGCTTTAAGCTTTTTTGATGATTTCACAGTAGCACTGTTACTGATACACTCAGTGTAGCAAACCCTTTCTCATCATCTTTATTACAAACAAGCTGAAAAAGGTATAAATGTGTGGGTTAAAATCTGAAAGCCCATAACTTCAGATCAGGTTTGAGCATGATTTGTTATACTCTTTGGGACTGAGACAGTAACATTTAAGAAAAAAAATCATATTTGCTTCCCCCAGTGGCAGCAGTAAAACGAAAGAAATTTAAAAAGCCAGTGTTTTGCTAAGATTTGATTCATCAAGTCGAAGCCTAGAATTATCATATTTTAATGTCCAAATTGCAAAGCCTTTGGAAAAAAAATAAATCTCAATTACTGAAAAAATCTGACTGAGAGAAAAGCAGCACAAAGGCTCAGTCCCCTCAGTGATTTCAGTGCTATCTTTAAGATCACAGAATTTCACAGTGAAAGGAAGTTACAACTGACCGTATCTCACCATAATAGTTTCTAATATGTACAACTCAACTTTAAGGCAACTGAGCACAAGAAGCTCATCAGAATTCTGTTGTGCCTGACTTCCTCTTTAACCAGGTCACCAGATGAAGGTAACAAATTATCTCTTTACTTATATATTGATCATTGTTTTCTTTACCTGCGTCTCAATAACCACAAAGTAAATAAGACAAAATTCCCTGATAGGAATAACTATTTGGATTAAATGAAGGTTCAGTGATTTAACTGATCAAGGCTACTATACTTGCAGAGAATACATGGAAGGAGAGCTAGACAAATGAGGAAAAAATAAAAGTTTTGTTCAATGCTGAATGCTGTGAGTTCACTATCTTTTTCATTCTCATAAAAAAAAAATTCTGTTGTCCAACCTCTGCTTACCTATAAGTGGTTTCTCTCAAAACATTGTCTCTGCTATTTCATATAGTGGGCTACAGCTCTCAGCAGGATTCTGATCAAATGGAGAGAGGCACGAAGATGAACTCTTCTCATATGGGAGCTGGTTAAGTGAACAGTGTGAAAAGGAATCCATATTGCCAGCTAGTAAAGCAGCTGCTTTATTTATTATCACTTATTTATTACTTTATTTATTGTTTTGGCATCAGACAAGGCAAATAGCATCACCATCGACAGTTCAAGACTGCAGTGTGGCCACTTTTCTAGAGCACATAGAGATTGCAGCCAACCTACATCTCTCAGCAGACTCCTTGCTTGCTCTTCTAGCCTCCCCTTCCTTGTGTATCTAATTCTCAAAGGCCCCAGCTCCTCACCACATTTCCACATACAAGTATTCTGTATCAGCCATTCTTATTCTGTCCCCTCCATGGTGCCTAATCTATATAATGCAGTGCTGAAAAATACCATCAAAACCATACAAAATGTATACAAACTGTGAAATATAATTACAGAATGCATATGGTTTTACTTTTCATTGGCTAGAATGCAAGTTCTCTTTCTGGGAGTGGGAAGAGGAAAAGAACAGACTCCTCATACCCACTCTGCATGTTTCCATTTTTCTTCTGATTTGGTGCAAATTAATGAATATTACATTGGTTCCAGCCACTCGGGAATATTTCATTCAAAAATGATAAAAAGCAGAGAAAGTGAAAAATATTCTGTTTGCTTACCTGGAACACTATGGTGAGCAGGCTTCCTATTCAACTGGATGATTACTTTTTTTTTTTGTATTTTTCGCATTTTTGGGTGCTTGTTTTGGTTTTGGCAAACAAGTAGTCTTCAGTGTTTTTATAGCAGTGGCTATTACAGAAATTATGTCTCTTGCACGTCTTATCTTGGAGGGTGGACAAAATAAACAAACTGAAAATAATACTACAATGAACAGTAAAAGATGAATGGGTTACAGTACAAAAAACAGTGTAAAAAGGAAGACAAGTTTAAATATTGTTGTGTATGAAAGGGATGAAAATAATACAAGGATGAGAATAAGTAAAATGATAGGCTGGAACATCTGGGAAAGTAAATACAAAGACAAAGAGAACAGTCAATTAATGGAATACCAAGTCCAAAGTTTTAAAAAAATAAGTAGTGATTCAGATTATGCTTGTAGAGGGACCAAGTGCCCGTCTCCCATTGACTTCAGTAGGAGTTCTGCATGGTTAAGCCCTGAAATGCCAATTTAACTATTGATGTTATTTGTTTAGAGAAAATACCAATTGGATTGCTTTAAATTTGTATGAGCCCATGCAGTGCTCTGCCTCTGAGTTAATGGGAACTCTAACAAGCTCAGAACTATTGCTAGATCAGAAAGTGAGCATGCCAAATGTCTTTTCTGTTTGATTTCATGCAGTACATGTATAGTAATTGATTAACTTTAAACTCACTGCGTCTGTGACTTTCTGATACAAGGAAACAAAAGACTAATTAGTCAGCATAGGGACAAGAAATAATAGCTTTCAGCTTCACCTGGCAACTAATTTAAAATTGCAAACTAGCAGGACAGCACACGTAAATTAACATAGCAAGAGACTTACTAAAACATCAGGATAATACCGTGACCAATAACAGCATTTGCCAACTATAGGACTGCATAATAAGATAATGGGAGGTAATTTTCATTTTTCATGGCAGAAGATCTTGAGTCAGCAAGGAATTTGCTCCCCAAAACCTCTCTGGGACAACTCTGCACGTCACATGCAGGATGCTTGTTGGCTCTTTCCTTAGGGGATAAGAGAAGAATAAAAAAGAACTGCAGAAAAGATGCTAGTCACTGTCGCATATAAGCAGTGACCCATAACCTTTCAATGAAAGATACAACCAGTTACAACAATTCCAGTAATACCAGTATTCATCACCATGCAGTCCATGTAGATTTTTCATGGTTTTTTTTTTTGTGGTTTGTTATATTCTTTGTAATTTTGGAAATCAAATGTTTTCTATAATTTAAAATTAATAAGATTTTGTTTTTATTCATTTAACAAGAACTCAACCACTAAGAAAAAAACCATGTTCATTAACGTGCCAAAAATGCTATCTGCATTGTCTTTACTGGTAATCACTGCAGCTTGATTACCATTAACTCTGGCAAGTACAGTTGCAAAGCCAGAAGGAGGAAGGTCTTCCACCTCCTACAAGACTTGTACCTAGGCTATAATTCTTTCACTTTCACAGAGACCATTTATTCACCACTCACAAATAGGCCCCATGGTAGAACAAATTTGCATATAGCCAAATGAGGATTTAAAATAATTTAATAGAAATTTTTGTCCACATTCTAGTTTAGGAATTTTAAGGTGCCATACATCGAATTTTAGTCTTAACTCTTTTGGCCGAGGTTTTTTACCTGTAGGCCATAATAAGTAAAAGTCTACCTGACTCACTGACAAAGGTTCGTCCGCACTCCGATCATCCGAAGACTTTGGAACTTCGAGTCTGTCGATGAAAGTCTGGAGCTCTTTCCTGAACGCCTTCATCTGTGCGTTGATCCTGTAAAGAAGCTCATGCTCGCGTATCCTGCTGCCATCGTCTTCCTCATCCATCAGTCCAAACAGGTCCCCATTAGCTACATAAATTCTTGCCTCTGTTATGATGGTGCTTGTGTCGGAAATCAAGCGATCTATTGTCTTGCCCAGTCGCTCAGCTTCACAGCGAATGTCCTTCATCTGCTGCCTGTCAGTGAAGCTTTTCTGCCACCCAGATGGTGTTGGATAAAAAGATCTCGTGGGTGTCAGGCACCGGATATTTCTCACCTCTTCTGAGTCACTTTCCCCGCCAATGGGCCCTTCCCTTTTGCGGTGAGGGGGACGGGAATCATCATCGCTCTCCTTTTTTCCTGCATCACTTTCTGCATCACTATCTCTGGGGCTGCCACGGATCCCAAGATGAGAGGCTAAATCATAGCGTTGCATGTTGGACATAAGCACTCTATTCTCATACTGGAGTTGCATGACTTTGCCACTCAGCTCATTGATCTGCATTCGTGCAGCTTTTAGCTCCTCCTGCAGTGCTTCAGTCTTGGCATTATCGTGGTGCCTAGAGCTCTCGTGGGCTCCGGACTTGTATTTGTATTTGTTCAGCTCAGCTGTTATGCGTTTGTTTTGTTCTTCCAAGTCAGCTACATTTCTCCTCAGCAATTCTGTCTCATCTTCTACTAGCTGCAAATGCTGTCTTAATTCTGACAAGGATTCACTCTGTTCTCCCAGGAGTGGATTAGTGGCCCCTGAGAAATCATCTCCTCTTAAGTCATCTAGCTCTGCTTTTAATCCTCTATTTTCTACTTCTAGCTCCACTATTTTTCTCCCAAGAATGTTAGCTTCCTCTTCCACTAGTCTCAACCGAAGCTTGAGTTCAGCTTCCCTCGTGGTAGGTGGACCGCCTGCTTCACCTTTTGGCAAAGGGCTGTCCAAATCACCATAAAATGATCTATATTTTTGAAGCTCATGTTCAAATCTGTCCTTCTCCTTATCGATCTTAGCCATTTTCTTCCTCATCAAAGCTGCTTCTTCTTTGACAAACTGCAGCTGGCATTTCAAGTCTTCGTTGTCCTCCTTAGAAAAAAAAGCAAAGAGAAGAAGTTGAAGAAAGTTGATGTAAAACAGGAGAGTTCCAGTGGATGGTCTTAAATTACAAGATCAACAATTAAAGGTATGTGGCTTTAGATACACAAAGACTTGCCTGTGGCCATTTGTTCATTAATCAGTAAATCAAATAAGGGGAAATAAATATTTAAATTTGAAAAGAGAAAGACTATTTTACTCGCCATTAAACCCTACGCAGCCCTCAGAAAACACCTTTTGTGGGTATCTTGTAAAAATAACTTGCAACACTGTAGTAGATATCACAGTGTTAAAAAACCTTGAAATCTGTACATAAAGGGCCTATAATTTTATTTCACTGGTGCTCCATTTACTTATTTTGCCAAAAATATTTGGAGTACATGAAAGCTGGTAGGTTTTTGTTGCGGCGCAAGTAGTACATTTAGGTAGATCTTGACATCATGTCATTTCACTACAGATTTGGGGTAAGAGGTCTTCATTTCGCAGCACGTAGAAAAACAAAACAAGTGTAAATCTGAAAATCACATTTCCAGAGTGTCGCTAAAATCTCCACAAAAGGATCCAGATTACTGTTGATTCAACATACCTCTGTTGGTGTTTGCTGTGACTTTTTTTCTGATTTTTGTAGGTCTTTGCTCCCTCTTCTTTTCAATGACTGCTGAAACAAGAACAAAGTGAGAGACACTGCATATTTCACTGAAGAGCAACATAATTTAGTCATTCTGTTTAAACGTAGTGAGACAAATGCAAATACAAAGGCAGTAGCCTCTTGCAGCTCCTGTGATGTCAAATACAGAGGAAAGACACTGCTGTTTAAAAATGACACAGCAGAAGTACTGCTTTAGTAAAGTATTGGTTTAATCAGTCTGCAACATTTTTTTATTCTACACATTTTAAAACAAACACATAAGAAATGCTTAGCACCCTTATCATCACATGAGAGGTAAGATAGGAAATATATTCAATGGTAACCCCCCAAAAATGGAAAACTGAGGCAAGTAGTAAAACCAGTGCCATAGTTAAGCCACACAAAGCATTGCCAGTGACTTTTCCCAGCAAAGCTGAGGACAAGGACATCTTTCTCTGCATCCCACCCACAGGCCTCAAGCTTGCAGTATACAGCTCTACTAGGAATACACTGCAGACAAAGCATGCAGAAAGATGCATACATCCAGTCACTAGATTTGTTCTGTTCTCCAAACATATTCAGTACCTGTTTTAAGTTGCTTGGACTATAGATTCCTAGTGAAAGGCAAAGCAGATTTACTTGCGACAAGCACAAGACAAACAAACCTATCCACACCATACAAGCGAGGTACTTTTTATGCAGCCAAGGTGAAAAGAAATTGGTGAGAAGAAATTCCTGCTTTCAGAGCAGGATGCACTGGGTTCAAAACTTATTAGAAAAAAATCTTGTAACTGCTAACAATGAAAAGTTCATTAGTGGGCAAATGGTAGCAGTGGAAAACAACTGCAGCAATCCCGCTGTCAACACTCAATATAGATCATAAAGAAAACAGCAGGGAAGAGGAAAGTGAGTGAGAAAATGTTAATACATAACAACCCACTTGCAGCTGTTCCCAGGTGAAATGTAGCCCTTGCAGCAGGCAGTGATATAACTACGTCCCTCTGAGACTATTCTCTGGTATGAGCAGCCTTTGTGCCACTGAGTACTGAGAAACATGCATTTCTCTGTGCCAGCCAGGAAAAATCCAGTGGTATATCCAAAAGTCACGCAGTTCCACCTAGTGGGAATTAAAATCTATTCACAATCCTCAAGGAACAAAGCACAATGGGCACGTATACTGTACACTGCTGCTGGTACCAGTTGTTCTCCTTCTTCTGCAGATCAGCCTCAATACAAATACTACACCCCAAGGACTCCTCCCCCCAAAGGAAAACTTGATAGCACAGAAGTGATTAGCACTAGATCTAAGAAAACATAAGAGATGAGGCTTCTTGATCAAATTCACTATAGAGTTGTACCAGAATTAAAATAACCTCAGATTCTGAATCAGAATTCACAGGTATAGTCACCAAGAACCAGAAATGAAACTTTTATGTCTCTTGAAAATACGCAGTGCTCTCAATAGATAAAACAATAAAACCAAAGATCATTAGAATCTCAGCCAGATATCAATGAGAGGATTCCAGAAGAATCCAGAAAAGACACAAAAAATAGTTAAATTGATTCTTCCTTTTAAAATAAAGCCAACAATATAGACATTCAGTCTGCAAACAAAATTATTTTTCTCCAGGGTCACCCATTAATTACCCTACTGCAGAATTGGTATGTGCATGTGGAAAGTTTTTTTTATTGCTTTTCTTTTTGAATTGGCAAATTTATAAACTTTCAGAAGTGCAGATTCCTGCTATATGTCACCGTTAATCGTTCCACTATAAAAAGCTCATTTTCAAATCAGTTATTACTGCAAACTTTTGCTTGCACCAAGTTCTTGCTAATGCCATCCACTAATAAAGTAATTAGAAGATAATTAAACTATATATGTTTGATTACCTAAATTCCTTCCTGCCAAGCCCAGCATCTCTTCAAACAAAATGAGCTTCTAAAATGCTGAAACGCAACTTCCTGTGTACCCTACAACATTTTAGGATATGAGATGTATGAAAAAGTTTTCAGTGACAAAACCATTAAAAAAGAGAAAGTTCAGAGAGCAAAAATTATTTTTCTGAGTTTGATGTAAAACTAAAACACTTGTTTTTCCCCTTTCTCTCAATGTTTTTTTTTATTTTAAAGTCCTTCTTTTGTTGTCAGCATAACAAATTTTTAACTTCAGTGATAGTCGTGACTAATGACAAGACACTACTTTCTACTCTGCTGTATTTGAATTAAAGCATCCTATACTCAGAAAGCTTATGTTCATCAGTGAAGTGATGGTGTGTAACAATGCAATTTTAAAGCAGTAAACAGTGAAGAACATACACAAGTCAGTGAGCTGGATGATTTGTGTAAGTAGATTAGGCCCCGCTGGTACTGGCATAATCTCTTTTCCTGTGAATAACACCAGGAGGTGATTTCTGATCAATAGAGGTTAAGATTCCACTCACACACCTCAGCTGACAGATGACACCTTCAAAATCACAGTGCCCCATAAAAATTATCTCAGGACACTGAGGAATTAGACATGCTGAATGAAAAATGCTACATCTTAATCAGCGTGTTCCTATATAAATAATTCTTAAGAGATTTTTCTGGGGCACAGTTCACAATTTAGGGTGGCTGCTCTTTCTTCCATTTCTCTCAAGTCCTGTACTACCGCTGTCTTCCAATTCAATTGTCAGTATGTTAAACAATTTATTCCCAGTAATTTAAAAAATGCTTCAAAGCAAAACAGAAAGAGAAAAAAAAAAAAAAGAATTCAAATAAACATACTGCAAGACCAAAAACAGCAGTCCATGCCCTTGCAAGAGAACGTTCCCATTCTCCTACTGGATACTACTGAAACTGCATGCTGCTTATTTTGACATACTAAATAATGTTACATAAAGCCAGTTTAGCTAACTTCATGTACAAACGTTGTCTGTTCAAAAAGCTTCATGTTTTATTGTCTTTTCATATATTTCTCCACTTGTTTGGATAATTCTCCTTTTTTCATGTCACAGTGTACAGCAAGGAATACTGCAGTGCCACTGAAGGCTGCCTCTGTTGTTTTTCAAGTGTAGCCAAAAAAGTCTGCCCATCAAATTTTAGAATTGTTTTGAAAGTTTGTAACAGAGAGTAATTTAAATTATATTCAGTTTAGTCTATTTAGTTATTATGATTCTTAAATTAAAAAAAAAAAGACTGCATTTGCACTATCTAATCTGCAATGCTTTCTAGAGAGCTTTATGGTTGTAATAATCTTAAACCAAGTCATCCATCTTCAGGAAAAAAAAAAATGAATAAGCCAAAAATGCACATCATAGTGTTTCTACAATGGAGATTTTGCTAAACTGCTCAAGTAATAATGAAATATTCCAAAAGTGCTAGAATAATAGGACCAGCAGCTGGGGTATGTATTATTGTGTTGTATAAGCTCTGCTTAGCTCTGAATGCCTAGGAAGTACAACTGAGTCTGCCCTGTCTCTTCTAGCATTCACTGTTTTGAGTGCACATAAGGTTACATTAATGTTCTGGCAATGCTGAGAAATTTCCACAGTACAGATAAGGCCATAGACAATGTTTGCACTTTATGCACACCTGACCACATGAAAGGGACAATCCTGTTGTGATTTTCAGGAGCATCAATTCTCCAGTGACCTTCACTGGACTTTATCCAATGTCTTGCTCGAGATGCTAAGCATTTCTCAAGACCAGATGGCAAAATTCTTCTCTTGCCAGCCTCAAAATGCAATCCAAATGTGCAGTTCCAACCACCTATGATGCTGAGTGCATCGGAGTACAAAAAGACCTGAAGTCTAATTTATAAAAACCACAGCTGAATGAAATGACAGAATCATGCTGCACTGAATATCAAAGCTTTAAAATGAACTCATTTCTCACTACTTGACTCTGTACTACAGGAAATCTCTTGCACAATTAATAAAGAAGCTGAATAGAATATACCACAGTTTTTCAAGACTTCTAGGTTATTTCAAGTCTGATCTGAGGGCAAATGATCTAAAAAAACAATGTAAGCAAACACAAGAGGAATTGTCAAAATATAAAGGGATTTATGAGTGCACAAGGTTTCCCTGCCAGCCCTCATCCCTGCTCACAGAACAGCCAAGGCAAAGGATGTGCAGTTTCCGAATCTCTACAAGTGCAAGTCACCAAGGTTGCACTGCACACACTTGTAGTTAGCTACCTCTTAAACACTGTGACAGATCTACAGAGCTTTCAAAAATCAGAGCAAAACCAGTGCCATCTTTACAGTCTTTTAAGAGTCACTGAATACTGAACAACTTTGGGACTCCACAAACTTGCCTCTGTCTAGCACAGAGTGATCACGATCAGGAAATAGAAATGTGCCCTCAGATTTTCTCTGTTCTTTATCTTCACTCAAGTATAGTCAGATAGCTTGTGGATCTGGATCAAAGCAGACACAAGACAGACTTTTCAGTTTACTGCCACTGACTCTAATTCAATGTATTAGCACAGATAGTTAAAACTAAATGGATACTCTCCATGTTGGTAAACTGAAATACACTTTCTCCTCAAAACAATCTTTGTATTTAAAATGTCCCCCTTACTCTGTAACTCTACCAATCTTTTTCAGATACAGATTACTTAAACTATCAGCAACTTTGGTGGTTGTTTGCCAGCAACAAACTCCAGGCACTGGCTTTGTCATTGGCATAACCACATAGAACCATACAAACGCTTTTCTTTCCACTCTTCTTGAAGAGCAGTTACCACAAGTATTCCAGTATTTGACTTGCTTCCAAGGGCTGCAAGAAAATTCAGAGGATGAGGGAAATGCAAAAAAGCATGGCACCCAAATTCAAGAACCAAACACAAAGCTATAGGTCTAAGCATATCCCCACCTGCTCTAGAAACACTCTCCTCATATTAAAACTGGTATAACCGAAAACATTTCTGAAGAACAACATGAAATGAAGGCAATCAAAGAGAGAATAACAGGTTTTACCTGGTCTTTGAATGTCTTCATATTTTAGAAAAGAGTAGCCACCCTGCCATATTTGTATTATTTTATT